TGACTCATAACCTATTATGGGTTAGGGCTTATTCGTTCATAACTTTCCTATAGAGTCGTGACATTTTGTAATGCCCTAAATATATCCTAGAATTTTATAACAAATTTCTAATAAATTATAGTTCTAATTTTCATTTCAATGAAATAAATATCAAAACAAAAACACTAATATAAGATATTTTAAAATAATATTTTAATTTTCAACTTTATACTCGAATTGAAGGTCTCAACGAGATGTGTTCAATGGCGTGTTCTGCGTGCGAATCTGATTTACAAAATTTAGGGAAGGTCCCAAGACCAAAAAGATTAAAAAGTAAATGAATAAAACAAAACTATGACATAGAGATAATATTATCTAACAATTTTGGGTCTTTGGATAGGTCTCGTGAAAAGGTGACCAACGACATATTGTTTGTCGAGTTTGGAATTTTGTATAAAAAGTTATGAGCAAAATAGACGTTGCAATTAAATAAATAAATATAAAGATTTTTAATAATGTAATAATATATTATAGAGTTAAATGCACAAATAGTCCATGTGGTCTTTCATAAGTAGGTAAATAGCCCATGTAATTCTAAAAGTTGTAAAATAGTCTCTGTGGCTAAAGAATTGATGCTTGATTAGTCCCTTGTTTAAGGAAAATGTAAAGCACACAAAACATAGACGTAATGTGTGAAACTATGAAGCATGTAGGTAACAAAAAAAGAAGAATTTTATATCATGAAATTGCCCTAGTCTTCGTGGTTAATGGTATTGAATCATTTTTTCTAGTTTTTTTCTCACACAATTTTACCTTAAAAATAAAGTTACTTGAAAAAAACATAATAATGTCGAGCTTAAATAGAACATTGTACTATGATTCAAAAATATCGCTATAGAAGAGACGGAAAAATCGTTGTAAGAGTTAAACTAAAAGATGGAAGAATTATACTATGCTTCAAAGTTACACATCACAACCAAAATTTCAAATTAGTTTTTTCTACTGTTACAAGATTGACGTCTTTGTAAAATACGCGCGTGTTATGTACATTTTGCAAATTTTCTAATATAGTGAGGTTCTTTAACTACATGGACTATTTGACAATTTTTAAAAGCTCGAGCAGTGTATACCTACTTATGAAACACAACTATGTATGCATATAACCCTATAATATATATAACCTATACTTTCCTGAATCTACCCCATGAAAGTCTGAGCCCCAAACCCAATCCCTCACCCCATTTATGACAGAGGATTTTCCTATTTAGTCCTTTATTATAAAATATTACCCCAGTGGTCCTTCTTTTATATTTATCTTTTCACAAATAATTCTTTTTTGATCTTCAATAATGTTGGTGTTCATTTGAGGGCTAAAAGTTTAATTTTACAATGATAATATATCTTTTTTGTCATACACAATTCCAAAGGCTGTTCCGTTTGCGTCGTTTGTGAATTGCAGTCGCTTTCTACTACAATCATAGTCTACAAATGTGGTCTTTCGTCGGAATCCTAACCCATAATCATAGTCATTATTTTTGTGTTACCTCAGTCTATCAACGAAAGGAAGTTTATTCTGTACCAAACTTTACCGAATTCATTCCCAACCTATTTACGACATGCATAGATCATTAAGGAGTATACATAGGTCATATTCTTGTGTTATCCCCTACAATATCAATCAATATTATTCCAAAGCCTAGATTTGATGTTCAAGACCACAACAAAACAATAATCATCACTAGTTAAACACGGAATCAATCAAACAATAATTAAGAACGTGGATTTCAAATCTACATGCATAACCTAGCGTTAGATGTCCACATACTCACCTCAAATTTGATGAAATCTGACACTGATCATGAAGCCACGATGGTGGCAATGGCAGTAACGTTGGTGGTTGTTGTTATGGCTCTTCTTTTCTTCCTTCTTTCTTCTTGCTCTCGTTGCTGCTCTTTTTCTGTTCTTTCTTGCTGGACGTTGGAACAAGAGAACGAGAGAGAGAGAGAGAGAGATTGCGTAAGTAGAGGGAAACATGAGTCGAGTGAAGATCACGTGCGAAAAGGGTAGCGCAAAACACAACATGAAGAGGTATAAATAGGCTTAGGGTTCGTACTACGTAATTAGTTAACATACCTTGGTAGAAATATACTGTGCACGCCAACTTGCTCCAAATTTAGATTTGTTTGCATCGTTGGATTTGCTTCGTCGAATCCTACACAACCGTGTAATAATTATAACTAATAACCAAGTATCTATAATTAATAACTCCAGGTCTGTCTTTGTAATTAATTAGCTATTTTTAATTAATTAATTCTGATTGACCGAGTTTCAGAGCGTTACACTATGACCATATCACACGGTTTTATCTCAAAAAGAAAAAATCACCGATTCTACAACCAGATCAGTATCGATATCGACAAGTTCAATTACCAAACCCCCTACCTCGCTATCGACACTACCGTGCACGGTGACAGTACCAACTCCCCACCCTACCTAGCTGGTTCCAGTTTTGAACCTATTGGTTCTGGTTCAAAGACCGGTTCAGAACTGGAATCGTGTCAAGTTCTAGGTTTTACATATTCTTTTTCCTGAGTCTTAAAAAAAGGTTTTAGTTTTTAGTTTTAGAAAAGTTTTTGTGGCCCGTATATAAGTTTGTTTCATATTCATCTCGTTTAACCAAATAATTTCACTTTTCTTAAATTTCATGCAAGTTAAATGTAAAACCTTTTTATGAGACGAAAAGAATATACTCCGGGTATATTAAAAAATCACTTGGATGACATAAGTGCTAAATGCCTTCTTTTCATGCCTTAGTTGAAATGGGTGATATAGCTTGATGAAGATGTAATATAGCTAATGAGCTTGTTTTTTTCAAGTTTAGTTAAAGACCCTACTCAACCAAGAGAATTCCTGTAGAATTTTGGAAAAACAGAACTGCCTTTCATTGAATATTCACAACGTATATATACATGTGTCAAGTCCTACTACAAGTATGGAAAGGACTAACAAGGAAATAAATTACAAGGAAAATAATTACATATATGTAAGTAAATAAAAATATATATGCTAACACTCCCCCTCAAGTTGGAGCATGAAGATCACAAATGCCCAACTTGGATAATAAGAACGCGAAGAGTGCCTGTTCAAAGCCTTAGTAAATAGATCAACAATTTTTAGACGAGTAGGAACATATGCTGTAGCGATCTCACTGTGCTGAACACATTCACAGACAATATGACAATCGATATCAATATGTTTCATGCGTTCATGAAAAACAGGACTGGCAGCAATAAATAAAGCGGACTTATTATCACAAAACAAACATGGCGTCGTTGGTGAAGCAATGCCGAGCGCCCCAAGAAGACCGCAAATCCATCGCACTTCTGCACATGCGTTGGCCATTGCACGATATTCAGCTTTTGCTGATGAACGGGACACGGTGGTTTGTTCCTTTGTTTTCCAAGAAACCGGGGAGCCACCTAAAAGAATGAAGTAGCCGCTAACAGAGCGACGAGTTGGATCAACAGATCCATACATCTTGTTCCATAAAGTCACAAATTGATTATAATAAACAACTGCAGTTTGTCCCTTTTGACGCAAAGATTGGAACTCAGATTTCAATTGATGAATACGAGGTCCATTCAAACCTCCATATCTGGTCTTTAAATCTAACCATAATTCATGAGCAATTTTATGGGAGATAATGGAAGGTTGGATGTGTTCATCAACACTGTTACAGATCCAAGAACAAATAATGGAATTATTAGCTTTCCATGCCGCCAATTCCTGTTCATCAGTGGGTTTAGGAAACCCGGAGGGATTGAGAAAACCTGCTCTGCTACGCCCTTCGAGAGCATTAACAATGGTTTTCTCCCAAATATCATAATTATCACCTTTGAGAAGATGTTTCATCAAGGAATTACTCGCGCTTTCGGACGGGTGGATGTAGTACGGAGAGGTAGGGTCGTGGATGAGCCTGACCTTCTTTGTTCCTTCGATTGTCATGGAGACGAAAATAGCACCGATGTGAGGCGGTGGTTACGTGACCGACGTGAGCCGGGGTTGATGTGGCAGCCAGCGAGAGCCGGTGCTGCAGTGGTGGAGACCGATGTGAGCCGATCAAAGAGAGGCGACCGTCGTGAGGCGGCCGGCGAAGCTATGGTGGCGGCACCGTGCAAGAGAAAAAATACGAGCCTAGGGTTTGAGAAGTTCCTGGGAAATTAGCTCCGATACCATGTAAAATTTTGGAAAAACTGAACTGCCTTTCATTGAATATTTACAACGTATATATACATGTGCCAAGTCCTACTACAAGTATGGAAAGGACTACTTACAAGGAAATAAATTACAAGGAAAATAATTACATATATGAAAGTAAATAAATATATATATGCTAACAATTTCTTATGATTTCAAGAGAATAAAAATATAGAAGATACCTTGAGTTAATTTTAATGTATATGGAAAGTATTTTAGAGCACTAACATATCATATACTCCGTATTGTTTGAAATCAATCCATAGTTGCATTATAAGATCGTTTCTTCAAGCACTTAAAAAAGCATGTATCGGGATCAACTATGCATTCTCTTTTAAAAAGAGAAATGCTATGTGTACCCCGGATTGGTACACCGGATGTACACCAACATACCCCCACCCCCGTGTAAACCCCCCGGCCCCCTCCTCTCTTTCTCACCCTATTCTTTTCTCTTTCCATACTCATCTCTCTAGTACCCCCACCCCCCGTTTCCTTTCCATTTTTCATCGTCTTTTACCCTTTTTTCTTGCCGGCGGCCAACTCTGAAGGGTGGCACCGCCACCTCATCACCGCAGTCACGTTTAATTCATCAACAGATCTGCAACCGCCTCATCCTCTTTCCCGATTGTCGCCGCACGTCATCTCCCTTCGTCTTAAACGGTTCGTTGCCACCAGATCCTTCATGGTCCCCTCACTCGATTTCCCTCCCTCACTCAAATATCTCCTCACAACTAGCGACTGAGCTAACCACCACTGTCGTCGCTACCGCCTTCCCCGTCGCCATCAGGTAAGTTCATGTTCTTCTCTTTAAAAAAATTCGATCAAATTTCTATTTTTCTGGTTTTTTCATCTTTTATATGGGAAAATATTCTTTGCAATCTAGGTATAAATAGAGAGTTAAGTTAAAATTTCATGTGTATTGTCACTATCAATGACCACAATATATGAATTCTTAATTTTTTTGTTTGATTATGAACCATAACTTTGTAAATCTAATTTTTTTGTTTATAACTGTCTGAAATTGTTTTAAATGTATGTGAGCTGCTAGTTACAGGTGTAAAATGCCTTTCTTACATGTGAATTAGTGCCCTCTTTAAAAAATTATTCTAAATGTATGTGACGTGATAGTCACAAGCGTGAAATGTCTAGTTAACAGCTAAAGTGCTGTCCTTATATAAAAATAGCTCCAAAAGTATGTAAAGTGTTAGATGCAAGCAAAAAATGTATGTTCAATATGTGAACTACAAGCTATTGGCTTTAAATGTCGATTTTTTACTTAATCTCTTATAATGATTTTGAGCTTTAATTTACTTGTCTTGTTCAATGATGTCTTGCAGCCTGATATAAAACCCTGCGTTGCTCCTTCGGCTTTCGTTCTCCATGTTTGTGACTGAATCAGGTCAAGCTTTTATGGGTCTATATGGAGTTGCTCTCAAACTTGTATCTAAATCAGGATTACCTTAGGCTTTTTAGTCATTAGTATTCACCGAGTCTGAGTTTTTTTGTTTTTGTTCGCTATTTGTGTATAATTATATGTATTACATTACCATACTAATCGATATGGACTCAAGATGCGACACCTGTTTTGTGTTTGCTTCATAAACATTTTTATTTGTGATGGTAAATATAATCTTGATGGGATTGTTTTTTCTTAAGGACACATGGAACTCCTAAACGTTTACCGTCTGATTTTTAATCACAAACACTAAGAGTGTAATCACAGATACTAAATTTCTGTGAACGCCTAATTACATGGACTTACTGTCTGTAAATTGTTCAGTTAATGACATTAACTGCATATAAAAATAAATCTCACTGATAGACAATGTATTGGTTGGAATGTATACTTAGTTCTGATTTAATTGTGTTATGAATTTTCACAATGTGTTACCAACATGATACATTCGTGAGCAGGCGCACTCAATGCATTAAATATGCCAAATAATCTACTTACAAAGACATTATATTTCACGATTTGTTGGGACAAGAAAAACAAATTCTAAATGCAAAAAAACAATATGAAGTGTTTGGTCACATAGACACTAAATGTATGTAATTCTCCTAAACACTTTGCATAACTTGGATGAAAATTGCAACTGTACATAAAGTCAATTAAATTAGTTTCAAACTGATGGACAATAGTTCCACCAGATGATCCGATTCAGAAGAATGGATCACAAGAAAGTAATAAGAACAAGAACTCGAGAATTATAGGTTTTATTAACTGTTTTTAATGTATGAAAATCGCACTTGTAAAATATACCAAATAATACAATAATAAGAATATTTCATGATATTTTTCTTATATTGCAAAAATAAACTAAGTGTGGAGTATGTTTTGGTCACACAGACAACAAATGTCTGTAATTTATTGTAAACAGAAACTTATTGTCTGTAAAACCTAAATAAAAATACATCTGTCAAATATACCAAATAATGCTATCATAAAGAATGTTTCACAATTACTCTAGATTGTAAAAAAGAAAAAATTATAATTACCACCGTTTTGTTACACAAACACTAAATATCTATAATTCACATTAAAATTTCACCCTTCAAATCTACGAAATAGTACAGTACCAAGAACATTCCATAAAGTTTTCTACGTTTAAAAAAGAAAAGAAAAATTACAATTAATATTGTTTAGTCGCACAGACACTAAACGTCTTTATTTTCTTGAACACAGACAATTACTATTTGTATAATCTGAATCAAAGATCTCTCCTCCGTTGACGCTATTAACGACAAAAAAAGTCATTATGGCGGTCTGGGCAGCGAAGAGGATGGGGCGGAAAAGATCGAGAATCCCAGGTTCAAATCCGTGATACCTCCTGAGTATTATGTAACATGTATAAAAATGAAATCCGTAAAATATCATGTAGTAGAACATAAAGACTTTCACAGACATAGACATTATATATATGTAATTCTTGATCAAAAACATTTCATCAAGACTTTCACAGACATAGACATTATATATATGTAATTCTTGATCAAAAACATTTCATCAAGACTTTTACAGACACTAGTTGTCTGTAATTTTAGTGACACAGACGGTAGATGTCTATGTGATAGATAATTGGCCACAAAAAAATATACTTTGTATCAATGCTATTTAGTTACACAGACACTAAAGTTCTGTAATTGTTTGAACACAAACATTTACTATCTGTGTACCCTGAGTGAAGATTCCGTCTGTAAGACTTCTTTCACAAACATTTTGCACCAATAACAAGCACTACACAGACATTTCGTAATAAGCATGAAAAATTCCCAATTGCCACAAGTTTTTAACAAAAAATCAGCCATTGAAAAGATTAAAAAACAAATTAAATGACTGAATAAGTTTGAGAAAGAATGATTCACAAAAAAATATTTTAAAAAGACTAATTTCACAAGAGGGAAGGCTTGATTTTTGTTAGAATTGAATGATTGAATCTAGCTTTACAAATAAAAACCCTAAAATTGAAATAAAAAGTATTTATTATAACCTTTAGTTTGCTATTGTATGGTGGTCAAGGCGCAGAATTGAAGATCGAAGAAGACAAAGGATGAAGTCTTCACCAAGTTGGATCTTCCACCGATGCACTGGACGGATGAAAGAAAAGTAGGTGATGTCACTGTGGAAAAACGAGGAAGACGAAGGAAGGGCTGGTCTTCCGGTAGTTGCCCGCTCACTAATTCCCTGGAGAGATCTGTAAGAGAGGGGGGAGAGAGAGAAAGAAAGCAGGGGAGGGATATTGTAACAGGGCGTTACAGATATAGAGAGAGAAGAAAGAGGAAGGGGGTGTATATGGTGTATGAATTGGGGTACACGATATTGTAACAGGGCGTTACAGATATCTGTAAGAGAGGGGGGGAGAGAGAGAAAGAAAGCAGGGGAGGGATATTGTAACAGGGCGTTACAGATATAGAGAGAGAAGAAAGAGGAAGGGGGTGTATATTGTGCACTTTTGAAAGTTCGAGAATAAAGTACACACTTTATAAGATGTTCGTGGTAAAATTGCGCTAAACACTCAAAAGTATACTCATTGTTGAAACTAAATATTCACCATCACTGGACGTTGTTCCCGCCACTAGTCATTAGTTAAATACTCCCTCTGTTCCTTTAAACCCTTCCACTTTTGACTTTGGGCAAAAATAAGGAAAATATAATTTTAGTTGACTTTCCAATTTTGCCCCTGATGTGATGGGTAAAAGTAAGATGTGATAGTTGTTGGAATGCATGAGTTCAACCCTTTCTGTGTTGTTAAGTGTTGACTCACAGGTTTTGATAATTGACAAACACAATTTATTCAAGTCAAGATCAAAGTGCTACAACGACAAACACGAAGACTTGAAGTGCCATTCCTTGAAGTATTCAAGAAGGTGCACAGGATTTTATTGAAGTCCGAGACACGTTCGGAGCGCCTAACGGAGGGCTAGGAGGAGTAGAAGATTTCTGAAGACTTTTTATTTATTTGAGTCTTAGGAATTATTGTAAGGATGACAAAAAAATCTTCTCTCCAAAATTATTTTTATGAGAGTTAAAATAAAATAATATTTATTTTTGGAGTCAGTTGAAAAATTCTTTTAACTGTTCAAAATACATTTATTGAGTCAGTTACAAAAAGTGTGTCAAACATTTATCAAAACATTTATTTTGATATTAGAAAATATTTTTGGAAAGCAAAAATATTTTATTCAAATATTTTCGTGTTCATCGTTTGACACACAAAATAATTTTGGGACTCAATTTCTACACTCCAAATATCTTTCATTTATTCAAAATTTATTTTGAATAATGTTTGAGTTGATGGGGAGCCTTACCCCTGAATTTTTTGTT